AGCAGGTCGAGGCTGCGGTGGCCGGGAGCAGCCACTGTACTCCAGTCTGGGCGACAGAGTGAGACTCCAACTAAAACAAACACACAAAAAAAGATGAAGTTTTGCAGTGTTGCCCAGGCTGGTCTTTGTTAAACCCAAATTTCAGAATCTGAGAGACCAACAAAGAGCCAGCTCTGATGCAAACACACAAGGGTCTTTATTCAGGTTCGAGTCTGGGCTCACGCCCGAAGCAGCAGCTTCAGGGACGAGAGCCCCGATCCAGCATGGCAAGCAGTTTTTATACATCATTACAGAGGGAGGGGAAAGAACTTTAAACTTGTTTTTACATGATAGGGTAATTTCTCCTAATGGGTACGGGGGCACTTGGGATTGGTCTGGTCCGCTCAGCTACCTGTGATTGACTGGGGAGCTGCTAAATGAGCAGAGTGGAATGTCAGCAGGCAGGCTAAGCAAAGGAATGTCCGGGAGGGGTTTATTACTTGACATTCACATACTGCTAGCAGCAGTTGCGGAAGCAATTGGTTATTTTATGAGACAAACAAAAATTAAACTTAACAAAATTCTAAGTACAAACACTGCAAACAAATACAGTGAACGTGGGGTAGGAATTCATATAGTAATAGTTCTCTTAGAGTTTTTTTTTTAATCTCTTGGTTCTCTCAGTCTTGAACTCCTGGGCTCAAGCAATCCACCCACCTTGGTCTCCTAAAGTGCGGGGATTACAGGTGTGAGTCATCGCACCTGGTCTGATTCTGTTTTAATAATATAGTATAGAAGGGCCGGGCATGGTGGATCAAGCCTGTAACCCCAGCACTTTGGGAGGCCAAGGCAAGAGTATAGTCTGAGCTCAGGGGTTCGAGACCAGCTTGGACAACTTGGTGAGACCTTGTCTCTACAATAAATAAAAAAATAAGCCGGGCGTGGTAGCACACGCCTGTAGTTCCATCTACTTGGAAGGCTGAGGCAGAAGGATTGCTGTTTGGAAGGCCAAGGCAGAAGGATTGCCTGAGTCCAGTGGGTCAAGGCTGCAGTGGCCATAAGCGTGCCACTGCACTCCAGCCTGGGCAACAGTGAGAGACTCTGACTCAAAAAAAAAAGTATATATGTGTGTGTGTACACACACACACACACACACACACACACACACACACACACAAAATAATTATAGATCAGCCATCTTTTACAGATATGAAGAGGTTGAATTCACTACTTAGTTGCAAAGCTGATATTAAATCTCAAGTCAGCCGGGCTCGGTGGCTCAGCCTGTAATCCCGTGCCTTTGGGAGGCTGAGGTGAGTGGATTGCCTGAGCCCGCGGGTTCAAGACCCGCCTGGGCAGCGAGACCTCATCTCTACAGTAAATGAAAAAATCAGCTGGGTGTGGTAGCACACGCCTGTAGTTCCGGCTGCTCGAAAGGCTGAGGCGGAAGGATCGCCGGAGCCCAGCAGGCAAGGCTGCGGTGGCCGGGAGCGGCCACTGCACTCCAGTCTGGGCGCCAGAGTGAGACTTCAACTCAAAAAATAAATAAATAAAAATAAATAAATAAATAAATAAATCTCAAGTCCTAAGCATAAAGGGCAAGAAGGATAGATAAGATGTGGCACCCATCTCCTGGGACTTTACAGTCAGACACTACATGACTTTATACAGGACAGTGTCATTATAAATGATGCTGAGTCATTATAATGACTGAGTTATTTAACCAAGATATAAAAGAAACACATTAAGAGATTAGCAAAGATATGTGACAGATTTCACAGGAAGGGTTCAGCAAGGCTTCCCTAAGTAGGTACCATTTTAGCTGAGTCTTGTAGGATGAGTACAATTGGTCCTCATATTTATGGTTTCCACATGGGTGGATTCAGTCATTTATGGATCAGAAATATTCATGGAGAGAAAAAGCACAGTTGCATCTATACTGAACATGTACATACACACTTTTTTTCTTGTCATTATTCCTTAATACAGCATAAAAACCTTACAAAGCATTTACATTGTATTATGTATTATAAGTAACCTAGAGATTATTTAAGGGAGGATGTGAGTAGATTATATGCAAATACTATACCATTTTATGTAAGGAACTTGTACATCCATGGATTTTGGTATGGGGGGGAGAGACTATAACCAATTCCCCGTGGATACTGAAGGACAGCTATAACAGTCATCCCTTGGTATACTCAGGATTGGTTCCATGACCTCCCTTGTATGATCAAATCCAGGCATTCTCAAGTCCCATTTTTGCCCTTTGAAACCCCCATATAAGAAAAGGTGCCCTCCAGGTCCTCTACACATGTGACTTTGGCATCCTTTGAATACAGTGTTTTCTGTTCACTTTTGGTTGAAAAAACTATATATAAGTGGACTCATGCATTTCAAACACATGTTATTGTGGGGACAACTTTATATGTTTTCAGGAAATGAGTAGTAGAGGGCAAGTCAGATAATATAAACAGAAACAGAGATATGTCTGGTAAACCATGATTATCTGGCTGGGGAGAGATGGTACAGTAGAGAGAGGATGGTTTTCAGAGCCACAAGAGACATGCCAAGTCATTTGTTTGTAAACAGAAGGTATATATGTAAATTAAAGCAACACATTAAATTTGCATAGCATTTTTCTATTCATTGTCTAATCCAATTCTTACCATTTCTCTATCTCTGAGGTAGATAGTGATAC